ATCTACACCTCAAGAGTTTATTAGTTAAATTTTATTTTCAGGCATTATTTTTAAATGTAAAAACAAACTGTGAACATATCTGTAAAATTAGGGAGGTGACAATTTAAGGAATGGCAGAACTATTGAAGATAGGTTCAAAAAATAAAAATACAGCAGCTGACACTTTGCTTTAGTAATTTTGGTAGTTATTGGGAGTAATATGTAGAATTCACTAGTATTTAGACGTATCTTTTCCAAGCTGATGATTACTTTTGGTCCATAACATTAACTTTAAATGTGACCTTTATGGTGCGTTATCAGGTGATATCTCACTCTGAACATCCTCACCTTCCATTGACTTTAAAGAAAATATTCCATCACCATACAGATTTAGGAACTGCTTTCCCTGAAGTGTGCAACATCTACTGGAGCAGTGATTGCCTGCTGCTTAGCAAACATCGTGATGTTATAAAAGTGCATCATTGGTTCTGGCATGTTTGTGCCTGGTTTCAGTAGAGTTCTATAGAGCTGTTTTGTGTTGCTGTGTAAAACTGCTAAGATCTGTCTTAAAATAATGATTAGGTAATTGAAATCAAACATAATGCATCATATCTGTTCCAAATTGACTTTGGACATTTTTATTGTGGTTTCTTAATATTTTACATATCCACTCTGGATTTGGCCCTGGCCAGGGGATTGAATAGCAAAAAACTGTGTACAGCAGTACTTAAACTCCCTAACATATAGGTGCTTGCTTTAATTGACTTAAGCACTTGACCAGATATGCTGCGTATATATGTTGTGTGTGTATACATATATAGATAAAAGTATATATAGCATTGTGTATGTATGTATCATGGCAGTGTTTAAATATTGATTCAGCAGATGGCTGCATGTAATTTTGTCCTATCATCTTAGTTATCTGTTTGCCCACAAAAATGTTATTACTCAGGTTGGAGTGAACTGGATAGAATGTTACTGTAATGTTACCGAGGATGGTAGGATGGTCTGTCATGCAGATTTAAACCTGATTTCTCTTGCTTTGATTGTAAAGTGCCTTTCGTTTTCGTGGAGACATTTTATTCTTTTTTACATTGCTGATGTCTGAAAACTTACCAAAGCCTGCGGTCACTACACAGGCTGCTACACTATTG